ATTTTTGGCGTTACTTTTGGCGCTATTTTTGGCGCTATTTTTGGCGCTATTTTTGGCGTTACTTTTGGCGCTATTTTTGGCGCTATTTTTGGCGTTACTTTTGGCGTTACTTTTGGCGCTATTTTTGGCGCTATTTGTGCCCCAATTTTTGGCCCAATTTTCGCTGGAAAATTCGTCACTTGCTCTCGCGGCACCATTTTTTTCTGTGCTACCATTTTTGCAATCGAGGGGGGATGATGCACCGTCGAATTGGCCGCTACGCCTGTCGCTGCGCCTGTCGCTGCGCCTGCCGCCGCGGCTGCCTCCTCTTCGGCCTTCCGCACCCCGTGTCCTCTCGCCTTTGCAGAAATGATTACAAGATTTTTTCACCGGGACGTCATCATCAGCTTTGCTTAAAACATTTTTTCGCATGTCGCTGAGATAGAAAAAGAGAGAAGCAACATGGTTTGGCACTTCTTCCATACTGTTCATGTGGCTTTTTTTTTTTTTTTTTTTTTTTTTTTTTTTCGCCTTCCCCCCCTTTTCTTCCTCCTCTTGGTAACGGTCATGGTGAGATGAGCTGGACTGAGTGGTCGTCACGCTACCACTTCTGCATCCCATCAGGCAATTTTTGCAATTGTCCCGCGTACGCGATTTTCTTATCTTACTCATTTGACGAATTTTACTCATTTGTCGCCCTTTTCCCACTTTTCGCGATTTGTGTGGTTTGCTCGGGTCACCCCATTCCTCCATGCTTGGCGCCTTTACCCCTTCTGCGTTTTCTGTGTCCGCGTCGAGGAAGTCTCCATCGCAGCTATACATATCGCTGATGTACAATTCGTCGTGGTACCCATTCGTTTGGTGCCAGCCATGGTTGTGTTGATCTGGCCAAAGAGCACCATCCTCGCGTCTGTCTTTCCTGCATTTCCCGCATAACAAGCAAGCGTCGTCGCCCCATAAAGGGTTATTTTGCTTTGTTGCTTCCTTAACCTTGCGTCGCGTCCTTTCTTGGCGCCGAGAAGGATCTCTCACGGGGTGAACACTCTTCTGAAAGTCACCCCTCTTCACGGCCTTACGCGGGAGGAAGTTCTTATCGTCTGTGGGGGCGAACTGGGCAGGGAAGAAGAGCGTGTCCTCCTTTCTGCAATTTTTCTTTCCATTTTCACATTCACGTTTAAGTGTGCAGCCCTGTTTAGCGTTTGTTTTTAATTTGTGCACAATGGGAAAGACCGCGTCATCATATTCGTGAGTATCACCTCCCCATTCATCGAATGCATCTCCACCGTTGCAGGGGTGGGTACCTCCACCAAAGTAACTGGAGTTGTACTTATGGTGGTGTTCATTCTTTTTCCTGTTCAGAGTGGAGCAAGTGCTGACCCGTTTTGCTTTTCTCTCATTTATGAAATGCCTGAGCAATATGGGGTTGAACAAGTCACCGTCATCCATGTCGTCGTTCAGAAGTGGCTTGTCCCGTTTGAGTTTCATCCTTTCGCGCATTTGTGGAAGGTTCGCACACAGTTAGCGAAATTAGAAAAAAATTTTCACAGGCGTCCTCTTTCATTCCGTTCATATTAATTCATGGTGAGCAGTCGAGGTTTGGCTTTATCCGCATGTGCCCCTCTCCTCAGCTGCGCACAGTATGCCGTGTTTAACACTCTCCCTGTGTACGCGTGGTGTAATACATTCGAGAGTTGTGTAAAGGGGGCACGTGGCGGCACAGCTTCCCTAGAAGCTTTCATATGCCTCTCTCCCACTTTGTTATTTTTAACACCAATGAGAACCTCTTCCAAATAGTGTACGCGTTGTTGCAATCGAGGCCAAGGGCCACACTTGGGTCGGCATGCGAAAAAAAAAAAAAAAAAGTGAGTCATGGATTCATCTCCCACACGATATAAAAAAGGGAGAGTCAAACGCGATGTACTCTCTCTTCTAGGTTCACGCGTTCGTTAAAAGCGGCGCTATTTGTAGGGATAGAAGTAGAGGTAGAGGTCAATATGGATGTTACTCCTTTAAGCTACATTTATATACGCCACTATGGGCTGCGATTTTTTTTTTTTTTTTTTTTTCCCACGTAGGAAGAGAAGCGAAGCCTTCCGTAAAAAGCGACAACGCACTTCGTGCTGTGCCCCCACACATGTGCCCTTTGCACTTATCCCTACTAGGGCTGAACGATGCGTCGCCAGAGAATGCGTCACGATGGGGTAGGTTCGTGTTGGCACGAGATCGATTTGCTTCCTACCTATACCATGTGCTTGTTCTTTTTATGAACCGATGGAGACCCCGCGGTCCTTTCTTTTTTTTCTGCGAAAGGTTTAAGTGTGCCCTCTTTGGCGGGGTAGCCCACGAGGGGAAGCCTCTCACAAAAAAAAGCGGTCCTTTCTGGTGCGTACACAAATGGAGAGCCCGATGGGATGAGCAAATGAACCGACAACATAATGGAAGGAACACAAATGGGCGCATAGGAAGGTGCACGTGGGGAGCCTCCGCCTGATGTAAAAGCGAAGCATACGAGCACAAGCGAAACGTTCTTGTTACGGTGCACCGCAATTATCGGTTTCGAAAAATGTGCTACAAGGGGCAGGTGATATTGTTAGCACACACAAGGGAAGCCACCTTTGTTATTTTTTTATTATTATTTTTTTTATTTTTTTTTGGAGCACGTGAACGTTGATAAGGAAAATGGGGCATGAACCACTGGGGACCGATCAGAGCAGACGCTATGCATACCATTTCGCCGGTGGAGGGGTATAACCTCAGCGGGGGGCGGGTGTCTGTGTGTGACAGCGGCAGCGTTTTTGCGGTTGCATTTCATTTTGTGCTAGGGTACTCTGTCCCTACATGAGGAAGCAAGCATATTTTATGTGCACACACATTATAGTGTCATCCTTCTTTGTTTACGCTTGTAACCTTTTGGGGGGCGTGTAAAAGCATGCGTCTGTACAGGGCCACGTTGTAACCCTATATGTTCATGTGCATACCCATGTACACACATGTGTGTTTGTACGGAGGCACACCTCTGGACTTGATCCGGGCCTTTTCCTGGGCTGTTTTTCGGGAGGGGCACAGCAAGAGGGGTTAAAAATGCACATCTTTCATTTTTCACTTTTCCCGCCTTAATCATTCACCCCCGCGCGTCACTTTGTAGTTTTTCGTTTTTGCTTTTATAAGTGGTGCCCTTGCGGGAAAGGGGCAAAGGGGCGTAGCTGTTTTGCGAAGGTCGCAGAGGGGCAAAAAAAGAGAGAGAAAAAAAAAAAAAAAAGAAAGAAACACGAGGAGGAAAAAGAAAGAACATATGACGAGAAAAAAAAAAAGAAAGAAAATGAGAGAAAGCAAAAAGGAAGGAAAAACCCCAAGAAAGAAAGCGGGAGCAATGGCAAAAAAGCGAAAAAGCACCCGCCAACAAGCGACTCAAAACGGGCGCGCGCTAGTGAACAAAACACACATTTTTTTCATGCGCGCGGTACATACAAAAATAGCACAATTCTTTGAACAGAAAAAACAACGCCGCTTCA